AAACGCGACAAACACGCTCCTCTCCCACCCTGCCCATAGTATCATTTTAATTTATCACCCAGAATCTGGGTGACACGTGACCAGCCGAAACCAGGGTCTTTCCTTCGCCTCGCGCCGTTCTAAGAAAGACCCTGGGAACGAGGTTGGGTGTGCACAACCCAAATTCGTCAGTGAAGTCAGTGAACGTAGACTTAGTACAGCTCAATTGATGAAAAGCTACTGAAGCTCAGACAAACTGAGACGAAGAATACGAACAGAAAACAACGAAGAAAGGCTGCAGAAAGAAGAGAACTTTGAAAAAGAACTATTCCAATATTAACATTAGTGACAATAAGGGACTGGTCATAAAGTAACTGCTAGGGTGGGCTGGAGGTAAATCACAAATTTTGCCAATACCTTCGGTGACCCATCTTAGGATGTAAATAAAAATTTCAAAGCCCATCTAATCTTACAAAAGATTTTTCATGACCCACCCAATCTAAATTGGGCCAGTACACTTTTATAATAAAAAAAACTTGCAGGTATGAACATTGTAAATATACACGGAACTGTATTGACATACATAATTCCACCAAGCTTGATCAACACGTTGATACTGAGCTGCTCTCCAGTTGGTTGTATTTGCTGTGATTCGATCGACCACTTCTTGTTGTTGTTGTATAAACAAAGTACTGGCTTCAATAGCATCATTTGGATAGTTTTGTTTACTTTTATTTTTAATATCTTTATTTTTTGAAGTAGATATGCATGGTTTTTGTTTGGTGGCCCAACCGTGGACATACAAAAACATTGGCGGCCCATCGAAACTGCCCAAAGATTTTCCATGGCCCATCCCAAATCACTCCAGCCCACCCTAGCAGTTACTTTATGACCGGTCCCTAATTAGAAACGTTGTAACGATTCACTGCCTAAATTTTCGCTCGTAACAACTCGAAGAAGGTACAATTATTCTCAATGCACGCTTCTGCAGGACTTCAACTGTTACTGTGTCTGTGGTCCGTGGGATATTGCATTGCAAAGTTCAGTTAAAATGCATCAACCTCAGCCTAGTCCCAAGCTCTCTCTCTATTCACTGCTTTGATATATTTAAATAAGTCTTAAAGGTTTTATGCCTGGGTGTGCTGTGCGGAACGCTTCAGCGAGAGAGCCTAGCAGATTTCGGTAAAATGGTCCCTGATTTCAAAAAAGTGGTCCCTGGCCTGGTTACCAAGCATATCGCATTTGTAAATAGAAAATGTTATGGAAATTTCCATTGTGTTTATAATCAAGTCATTAGTTTTGCTCTAATGCTGTCGGAACAATGAAATAGGCTACGTTTCGCTGCCATACGGTCAGAATGGAATAACAGGCTAAATATGACTCGTGTTTACTAAAATATATAGCCATATTAAATGCTATGTAGAAGCTTGAAAATTATGCCGAGTCTCCGACTAAAAATGTTTTGACAACACAGTCATGTCAGGCAAATATTTCCAATCTCCTCAGCTACTTAAAACTGTCAACTAGAAAGCGTAGTTGTGTATACCAGTATCATGGTCTAGTGTTGATCACAACTTGCGAGTATATAAATATCATCAACGATTATACGACCATTGCTCAGACTCAGTATCGTAAATTTGTATATATTTTTTAATTGAGCACATTTTTAATACAGTTTGAATTTGGTTATGTAGACATCGAACATGATCAACGAACATTGTCGTATTTGCAAGGTTATTTGTATATATAAATTTTCCGCCATATTAAAAATACTGAAATCTGCTAGGCGTTCTGGAGCACCTTTAGCGGTGACGTCACACCTAGGTCCCAGTCTCGTACTACATCCACGTTTTTTCTCGCGCTTGCTTCAGAACGACTGGCACTAGGCTGGTATTCATTTATATAAACCAGAGTAGCGAGCGAAAACATGACAAGTTCACCTGTTCGAAACTTGCTAGCTTTTGAAGCGTACTTGTCATAAAAAAAAACTTTTCATAGACTGAAACGTGCTCCTGTGTAAAAGGCTTTATTATATTTATAGTCAATTTTAGCCGTATATCTGGTATTATAACGTGCGGAAATTATGTAGTGAAATTTAATTATGTCGCTGGGAAAATTACTTTGCCTTTGGCTTTGGCGAATTTTATCAGTTGAAAATATGCACGCCATGCAGGGAAGTTATGCCACAGCCACAGCGGAAAATTACTCACGGGGAAAAAGTATTATGCCAAACACGGGCTTAGAAGACGATTACTTCATTGTACAAAAATACAATGAGCTCGAACATCGTGACAGTGCACAACTTTTAAAACATAAACTGAAACAAAAACATAATACAATGACTTTTCTGTTTTGTTTCCAGACCATCATACTGTATCTTGATAGACTATGATATGTGTTATGTCAACATACCATAGAAATATATATTATATGTCGACTCGACACATTTGAATCAGTTATCTACAAGATCATAAAGGTTTCTGAAATGCATTATGCATGCAATAGACCTTTCCCCTTATAACCAAAATTTTGATCTAGGCAAGTCTAGACAAATATTTCATCACAGCTTGAAAGAGCATCACAAAATTAGTAATATTCCAAAGTTTCATTGCGAAATGTTGTAAAATGAGAACAATAGAGCCTTGCGAAGTTTGCAATTTTCAGTCATTTTGCATTACAAACGGGAAATTGCAGCCCCAACACCCGAATCGTATGTCAATTTCCCGTTTGTAATACAAAATGACTGAAAAACGGCAAACTTCGCAAGGCTATATTATCCGCATTTTACAAGATTTTGCAACAAAACTTTGGAATATTACTAATTTTGTGATGCTCTTTCAAGCTGTGATGAAATTTTTGTCCAGATCGAAATTTTAGTTATAAGGGGAAAGGTCCATTAGCGAGATGTTGATTTCTTAGCCGGATGTGACGTCATTTACTCAACACGCTTCTTTCCCGAAGGAGAAATTAATATTATCAAAGGCTTAATACTAGGCTGTTTTTTGTTCAAAATTATGTCTTCTGACGAAAGCCACAGCTCAAATTTTGCAACACAATCATCTTGCGAACTCTCTTTTGCCGAAGACGTTTCTTGTGATAGCGGGGGTGATGTAAATATGGAGAAAAGTGTGGATTTGTGCGAGGCCAATGATACTTCAGTCGAGCCTGTCGAGGCTCTTGCCACTGAAAAAACATAATACACGAAAAGTACTATAACTGACAGAGAGCAAGAGCAGCAAACACTGTCTGCTGGATTGTCTGGGGAAACCTTAACGGGCACCTGGTACGTTTTCGATTGTATTTATTTACGTTTTGGTTTATATATTTGTGACATAAAACAAACATGTGATGGCCATGTTTAACAAAACAAATGGTCACTGGTCTCCTTATAAAAAATCATTGTCACCTCCGTTATATTGCACGAAACGTCTTCAATGAGAGATGGCTTAAAGATGTCTGTGTTGCCAAATTGGAAATCCTAACTCACGTAGGAACACATATTAATTTGCACAAAGTTGTGGGAAATATATTTCAATTATATATATTAATATAAATATATTATAAACTTCAATAGTATACTTCAATAGTATACTTTAATATATTAATGATCCATAGGTATAAATGTGGTAACTGTGTCCTGGCTCATTGTTGTTTATGTGAACCTTGTAAGAAAATATGCTGGAAGAAAACATGCATGACTGCTGCTTATTAAACTGAGCATCCAGCATTTGATATTGGTTGTTTGAAACATTGGGTGTTAAAACTTCCTGGTTTAAGTTACAAAACCTGATTAAAAGGCTGCCAAATTATACCACTCTGTATACCGAAGGGAAAAAGAGTGAACCTGACTAAGTATTTCAATGTGTAGTTCTAGGCAATACCCCCTGCTAATGGAAGAGATTTTATTAGTTAATTATGAACCCCCACCCCTCTAGATTTTTCTAATTGT